ATAAGAAAGCTATTGAGCCCTTATTTACATCCAAAACTTGAGTGTAAAAAATTAGACATTTGCAAGATGGAATCGGTACTGGAGACTGGATGTGCAACAATGCGAATGTACCCATGATGTGAACCCACTTCTAAACTATAAAGTAAAAATAAGTTGGGATCTCAACAACAAGGTGGGGCAACTTGCAAGTGATGCAATGAGTAGTGAACCATGCCCATTCTGTTGGCTAGCTTGAGATGAGTTAAGAGTATGAGTAAAAGATGAAGCTATCATTACAGAACGCAAGCCCACACTTTCAACAAAAAGATGTTTTCTTCCAATATAAACAATACATAAAGTTCTTTCAATTACTTCTAAGGCTCTTTGAGTTGGTTCCAAACATTGAGGGGAAAAGGAGAATAAGCAAAAATAAACTTGAATAAAAAGTCAGTATGTAACAATTGGGAGTAGGTGATACAATAAACACAGACTTTTTAAATAATGATTAGATTTTTAAAATTTGACATAAGCATAGATACATATACCTTGCATCAGAAAACAACCTGTAGTATATATAAAAATCAAAATTAAATGATAAACATGTACTGCTTTTAAAATAAAAAAGTGTAAAAGTGTTAGTGAATTTGGCTTCTAAGTAAATAAATATGAAAGAGAAAATATAAAAAAGCCATATGTCGGATATATAAGATGGGTTTAATAAAGAGTCACTTTCTCTCTACACTTACAGCATCATAGATGACCTCCACAGGCTGAGACTGAACAACCAGAGTTTGGTCAGCAGTACTATTCTCTGGGTTGGTTTCAAATTCAATTTTAAGCAAGGATGATGCAGTATCACCAATTGAAGCCACAAGTGATGGTATAGTATCCTGCTGTCTCAGACCTGTTATGTACCAGTGTTCTAATTTTGCTTCCACCCTACAATCCAATGAAGAAATAAAAAGAAGTGATATAAACAAAATCCTTGTAATAAAATGGTTTAAAACACAAATTTTTCTTTAAAAATAAGAGCCTCAACCATGCCCATTACAGAGTTGAAGTCCATACTTCTTAGACTAGCATTCAATAACCCTCACTGTCTGAGGTGGGTTTTTTTTTTCCTTTTTTGGTTTGGTTTTTGTCCTTGTCATCCACATAAACAACCAACTGTAGCCAATTCCAGAACACTGTAGAACTTTCGATCACTGTAGCATGAATACAAACTACACTTAACTCACGAGACTCATATCCCTATTTTGCAACACCCTGAACGCTCCCCTGCTTCTCCTAGTGCTTTCCATTCAGCTAGCTTAAGCACCAGTTCTCCTGGGTGAAGTTTTTCTCTTCCACAACTGAATCTGTGTGACATTAACAATAAGGTATTTAATTTCACAGTACCTTCTCACTTATGAGCTCTCTGATATGCTATACAGATCTTAAATTATTAACTTTTTGAATATCCTCTCTTGTCAACTACAGCATAAACTTCTTAAAAACAGAAAGTTTTGCGCCTATAGCCTTCACAGTATCAAATCTATAAATTAAATAGTACCCAATAAATATGTATAAAGGAAAGAACAGTATAGAATAAATGATGAGCTCATCATGTAATTCTATAACAAAACAAACTCAAATATAAAATGACTAATCTTGACAAACACACACAAAAAAAAATTAGAGAAAGACTACTATTAACCAGTCTTTAAAACTAAATAACACTACATTTGGAGGGCCTAAAGCCATACAAAAAATAAAATTTGAAATAACTTTTTAAAAACTTACTTAAGTGCTTGTGCTCCTGGTCGCTGAGATACTTTGGTCCCAAGGCCAATTATCTGAATTTTTAGTATTTCTGGGATATTTTTGTTTTCTCTTATTGTAACAGAAGTGCTTAGTAATTTCAGTGTCATTATATGAGCAACATACTAAACAAAAGAATTAATAAAAATTGTTAAAGTTTAAGTAATGATTCCTTTAATTAGTAATTCACTTATTTAAATTTGTTGAATGACAGTGGTCTATGAAAATCAGAGGTTTCTGTATCAATATGCTCACTATAAAAAAGTAACATTGGAAAACTCAATGCAAATTGCTTGCTCAAATAGGACATTTACAAAATTTAAAACTAATTTTTCTTAAAGATAATAAAAATGCAACTTGATAAAATATTTTGTGGCATAAAGATTTAATTCAGAAGATTTTACTAAAGCAAACTAATTCAGATCAATTCTTGGGCTCAAAAACTGGACAACATAAAAAGAACAATTGCTTGATGGCTTTGGAGAGTTAATAAGACATTTAAAAAAATCCTGGCCCCAAAATTGGTAAGTCAAGACTAGAGGTAAAGCAGAGAACCAGGGAGGTGATTCTCATCAAACCACACAGGAAGATAGCAAGAGGAGAAGTAAGAATAAAGTATCTACAAAATAGAATAACTAACAAAATGTCAATAGTAAGCCCTTAGCTCTAATAACCACTTTAAATGTGAATGGTTTCAATTCTCCAGTCAAAACACACAGAGTGGAGAATGAATTAAAAAAATAAGATCAAACATTATGCTGCCTATAAGAGACTCACTTGAACTTTTAGGCCAAACATAGACTGAGAGTGAATGGATGGAAAATATATTACAAACAAGCATAATCAAAATAAAACAAAACAAAACAAAACGAAGGTAGCTACACTCACAACAGAAAAAAAAGACTTTAAGTTAAAAACAGTCCAAAGAGACAAAGAAAATCATTATATAATGACAGAGGGGTCCATCCATCAAGTACATATGCAATAACAATTATAAATATTTATGTTCCCATTGGAGCACTTAATGTAGGCTAACAGAACTAAACCACACACCAGAATAAACTGAAAATGGATGAAAGACTTGAATGTAAGACTTGAGACCATAAAAATTGTAGAAGAAGACATAGGCAGTAAAATATTGGTCATTTCTCCTAGCAATATTTTTTCTGATGTATCTCCTCAGGCAAGGGAAACAAGAGAAAAAAGTAAATGATGGGGACTACATCAAACTAAAACATTTTGCACAGTAAAGGAAACCAACAAAATGTAAAGATAACCCATTGAATGGAAGAACATATTTGTCCATCATACATGTGACAAAGGGTTAATATGCAAAAATTACAAAGAACTTCTAAAACTCAATACCAAAATAATAACACAATTTAAAAAATGGGCAAAGGACCTGAATGTACACTTCTCCAAAGAGGACACACCAATAGCCAACAGACATGAAAACATGTTCAGTGTCACTAATCAACAGAGAAATGCAAATTAAAACCACAATGAGATATGTCACACTTGTCAAAATGACTGTCATCAATAAATCAACAAACAAAAAGTGTTGGTGAGGATGTAGAGAAAAGAGAACTCGCGTGTACTTTTAGTGGGAATACAGATTGATGCAGTCACTGTGGAAAACAGTATGGAGTTTTCTCAAAAAATTAAAAATGGAACTGTCTATGACTGAGCAATTCCATTTCTAGGAATACATCCGAAGACACCCAAAACACTTGAAAGAAAATATGCACTCCTATGTTCACTGCAGTGTTATTTACAACAGCCAACATTTGGAAGCAGACCAATTGCCCATCAGCAGATGAGAGGATTAAAAAAAGCTGTGGCACATTTGCACAATAAAACACTACTCAGCTGCATAAAAAAAAAAAAGAAGGAAATCTTACCTTTGCAACAGCGTGGATGAACCTGGAGAGTTTTATGCTAAGTGAAATAAGCCAGTCAGATAAAGACAAATACTGTATGATTTCACTTGTATGTGAAATCTAATGAATAAAATAGGCTAACAAACAAATAGAAACAGATTCATAAATACAGAGAACAGACTGATAGCTGTTAGGGGGAGGGGGTTGGAGGACTGGGTGAAACAGGTGAAAGGATTAAGGAAAGAACAAACTCATAGACACAGACCGCAGTATGGTGATTAACAGAGGGAAAGGGGTGGGGGAGGAGGTAGAAGAGGGTAAAGGGGAGATAAATGGTGATGCAAGGAGACTTGACTTTGGGTAGTGAACACACAACAGAATTTATAGATGATGTATTCTAGGACTGTACACCTGAAACCTATGTAATTTTATTAACCAATGTCATGGCAATAAATTCAATAAAATTTTTTTAAATTAAAAAAAGGAAAAATAAACAGCAATATAGTATTAGTTGGGGACTTCAATAGCCCACTCTCAACAACAGATAGGTCAACTAGACAGAGAATCAGTAAGTAAACAGTGGATTTGAACAATGCTATATGCCAAGAAACTTAATAGACATACAAAGAACATTCCATCCTATAGTAGCAGAAAAAACATTCTTCTCAAATTCACACAAAATACTTTCTAGAACATATCCCATATTAGGCCAACAAACAAATCTCAAAAATTTCAAAATGATATAAATTATATAGAGTATCTTTTCCAACCACAATGGAATGAAATTAGAAATCAATTAATAGGAGGAAAGCTACAAAATTCACAAGAACATGGAAATTAAACAACACACTCCCAAACAACCAATGGATCAAAGAAGAAACCTACAGAAAAAAAAACATCAGGATACCAAAAAATATGAAAATGCAACATACCAAAAACTTATGGGATGCAGCAAAAGAAGTTCTAAAAGGGAAATTTATAGGAATAAATGCCTACATCAAGGAAAAATAAGATCTCAAACGATCTACCTTATACCTCAAAAAACTAGAAAAGAACAAACTGACATTAGAAGAAAATGTCTGAAGTTAGAGGAAAACAGGAAATGGTACAGATTAGAGCAGAAATAAATTGAGAATAGAAAAACATTAGAAAAAAATTAACCTAACCAAAAGTTGGTTCTTTGAAAAGACAAAATTGATAAACTTTCAGCTAGACTAAACAAGATAAAAAGAGAGAAAACACATATACATACAATTTAAAAATGAAAGAGGAGACATTACAACTGAAACTACAAGAGAGGGTCAGCCCTTCCACTATGGCCACCATTGAGGAACAGCAGCCATGGCTCTCTGCTACCCCATGGCTGTGGGCCTCAACAACAGCCACAAAATGACAAAGAATGTGAGCAAGCCGAGGCACAGCCACTGCCACAGGCACCTCAACAAGCACACCAAGTTCATGTGGGACATGATCCAAGAGGTGTGTGGCTTTGCCCCCTATGAGTGGGGCACCACAGAGCTAGCTGCTCAAGGTCTCTAAAGACAAGAGGGCCCTGAAATTCATCAAGAAAAAGGTGGGAACATATATCCGGGCCAAGAGGAAGAGAGAGGAGCTGAACAATGTCCTCACAGCCATGAGGAAGGCAGCAGCCAAGGATTGAGCCCCATCCCCTCTATGCAATAAAACCTGTTTAGAAAAAAAAGAAGAAACTAAGAGACTATTGTGAAAAACTATCCCTCAACAAATTGGACAACCTAGAAAGAATGGATAAATTGTAGATACATATACTCTACCAAGACTGAATCATGAAGAAATAGAAAATCTGAACAGACTAATGATAATGAATAAGGAGATTCAACAAGTAATGAAAAACCTCCCAACAACAAAAAAAAAGCCCACAGAGATGCATTCACTGGTATGTTCTACCATACATTTAAAGAATTTATTCTCATCCTTCTCATGCTCTTCCATAAAATTGTTACTGGAGGGAAAACTCCCAAATTCATTTTACAAGGCCAGCATTACCTTAATACCAAAGCCAGAAAAGAACACTGGCAGAAACAAAAACTATGGACCAACATCACTGATAAATATATATGCAAAAATTCTCATTTGCTAGCAAAATACTAGCAAACTGAATTCAAAAGCACATTAAAAGGATCACACCATAATCAAGTGGGATTCATCTCTGGGATGCAAGGATGAAAATCTGTAAATGTGACACATCACATAAATAGAATGAAAGATAAAAAGCACATGATCACTTCAATAGATGAAGAAAAGGCATTTGACAAAATATAGCATTCATTCATAATAAAAATTCTCTCAATAAGCTGAGTATAGAAGAATTGTACATCAACATAATAACTTCCATATCTGACAAGTCCACAACTAACATCATATACTCAATGGAGAAAGGTTGAAAGCTTTGCCTCTAAGATTAGCAACAAAACAAGGCTGCACACTCTCACTACTTCTATTCAATATAGCAATGGAAGTTCTAACTAGAGCAATAAGGCACCCAAATAAATTCAATAAAAAATAAAAAAAGCCCTAGCCAGATGGCTCAGTTGTTTGAAGCATCGTCTCATGCACCAAAAGTTAGAAGGTTCAATTTCTGGTCAGGGCACACATCTAGGTTGCAGTTCAAGCCCCAGGTGGGGCACATAAAGGAGGCAACCAATCAATCAATGTCTCTCTCTCACATCAATGTTTCTCTCTTTTCTCCTTCTCTCTCCCTCCCTAATCAATAAACATATCCTTAGGTAAGGATTAAAAAAAAGAAAAAGAAAATACTGTTGAAAATGTTAAGTACTGTCATCCTGACATTCAGCAAATAAACAGGAGAAAAAGAAGTAAAAACATCTCTGCTTGTAGATGGTATCATCTTATATGCAGAAAATACTACACTCCACCAAAAAAATGTTAGAACTAATAAACACATTCAGTAAGGTTACAAAATACAAAATCAAAACACAAAAATCAGTTGTGTTTCTATACACTAAAAATGAATTATCTGAAAAATGAAGAAAACAATTCATTTACAATAACATCAAAAATAATAAAATACTCAGGAATAAATTTAACCAAGGAAGTGAAAAATGTATACATTGAAAACTGTAAAGCAGGAGTATCAAACTCATTTTCACTGGGGGCCACATCAGCCTCGTGGTTGCCTTCAAAGGGCCGAATGTCATTTTAGGACTGTATGAATGTAACTGCTCCTTAACTAGGGGCAAAGAGTTCGGCGCTGTTGCCAGGCAGAAACAAGGCGCCGGGCTGCATAAAACAAGGTGGTGGGCCGGATTCGGCCCATGGGCCTTGTGTTTGCCACCTATGCTATAAAACAATCATGAAAAAGTTGAGGGAGATATAAAAATGGGAAGTTACAGATTGAAAGAATTAATATTGTTAAATGTCAATTCTACCCAAAGTAATCTATAGGTTCAATGCAATCCCTATCAAGAATCCAATGGTATTTTTTACAAAAATAGAAAAAACAATCCTAAAATTTGTATGGAACCACAAAAGACCCCAAATAGCCAAATAGCCAAAGCAATCTTGAGAAAGAATAACAAACCTAGAAACATCACACTTCTTGATTTCTAACTATATTACAAAGCTATAGTACTCAAAACAAATAGTCCTGGAATAAAAAACAGATACACAGACCAATGAAACAATCAAGAACCCAGAAGCAAACATATACATATACAGTCAATTAATATTTGATAAGGGAGCTAAGAATACTCATGAAGAAAAGATCTTCAGTAAGTGGTTCTAAAAGAACTAGATATTAAACTGGACCATTATTTCACACCACTCACAAAAACTGATTTGATAATACAAGTTACCACAAGATAGTACAATAAAATGAAACAAAATACCTCTTTGACAACCTAAATAATTACCTGCTTGGGTAAAGTTAGGTTGTGGCTGCTCTCACTATAACCAATAGCTGTGAAAAGCTTATCTTTTTCTTCTGCAGTCATAAAGTCATCAATAGCTACAAAGAAAACACAATATTTTAAGAAATCAATTGCTTCAGTTTTACATATACAATAAAAAAATTAAACCAAACTAACAAGTACCCTAAAATCAATAGAAACTAATGCTAAAACAAAGCAGCCAAATAATTTCTTCTAACATACTACTTTGACTAGTTAAAACAAACACCACATCTTTGCTTTTTAACATCAAAAAATGCTTAACAAAGCAGCCAAATAATTTCTTCTAACATACTACTTTGACTAGTTAAAACAAACACCACATCTTTGCTTTTTTTTGATGTAAAAAAGCAAAGAGACACAATACAAGAGAATTCAGGTCTCCTATAAGAATTTTAGAATTCCCTAGGTATTTTAAAAATTAAGTGAAACTTCTAATTAATTATCCATGTAAAAAGTAACAATTAGGAATTCTAAATATGGTGATTTCTGAATTTCAACTTTTTAAATCTCAAATAACTTTTCTTGAAAAAAAAATAAGTTTTGTTTCAATTTGATAAACACAAAAATGTGCCAGCCTGATGTATCTGCTTATATATCCACTGCACTGAGCTTTTATTTCAAAAGAATTATGAAATAAAATTCAACCGGCTAAAATACAATTTATATAGCTTTGTCTTATCAGTGTATAATCAATGACTTGACTTGGAACTTACTTTCAGGAATCAAAGATTCTTCATCTTGTTTCTTAGATTCCTTCTTACCCCAAAACCCACTAAACCAGCCTCCACGTTTCTCGCCTGTGTCAGTAGGCTTTTTCCTTAATTTCTGCCCAGACCGAATCACCTAAAAGATTAAAATTAAAAAGTTAAAAGTAAACTTCCTCTTCATTTTCAGTTGTAGTGAGGTAAGAACAATGGCTAACTTTTTTAAACACTACATTACGTTAAAAATAGTCAAGAAAGAGTTCCTTCTGAAACGATGCTCAACATGTGATTAATGTAATCTATTAACTTACTTTTCATACTTACTAATAGCACATTGTTGCATTTTGTTAAGAATATAGCCAAGGGTTCAAAACATTAAATTTTTCTGAGCAATCTGTCTCCCAAAATTTTTTAAAGATTTTATTTACTGTTTAGAGAGCAGGAAGGGAGGGAGAAAGAAACATTAATGGGAAGGAGAAACATCTCAATCAGTTGCCTCTGGTACATGCCGACTGGGACTGAACCTACAACCTAGGCATGTGCCCTGACCAGGAATAGAACCTGCAACCTTTTACTTTGCGAAATGACTCCCAACTAACTGAGCCACAGTGGCCCGGGCTCTTCCAAATTTTTAAGTTAAGGAGCCATTAGGACAGCATATTTCTGACCAATATTATCTTCCAAATATTTAAGTTAAAGGGCCATTATGGATGAAAGAATAATGCTTCCACAGTCACATTCCAATCCATTCCAATTTCAGAATTCACTTACATTCCTGGCTTGCTAACTATGGCTATGGTGGGGATAAATTATAAATAAAAACAGAAAGTCCTCGAATTTTATTTCATCCTGTTTTCTCAAAAACTCCTGGTTTTATTTTCTGCTGCTCCTTGTCTCTGCCTACTTCTCAGGGAAATATAGATGAAGAACCAAAAAGTAAAAACAGAAGGATAAAGATAATAAAAGGGTAAGTCATCTAGACTCTATCTTAATAATTTCCCAACTCGAATTTTTTTTAGGTGGCACAGTGCCTGGTGGGCCTCTATGGACTTTGAATATAAAATACTCCTTGTTTGGGATGTTACTTTGGCTCACCTATTCAGTGCCCCCAAAAGCTAACTGGTTTTTTAAATTAATTTATTATTTTATTTTTTCTTTTTAAATAAATATCCACATTCAATGTTATACTAGTTTCAGGTATACAGCATAGCAGTTGGACATTTATATAACTTACAAAGTGATCCCCCCCACAGATGTGGTACTCACCTGATACCATGTATAGTTATTACACTATTATTATTTTCCTTAGAAAGTACTTTACATCCCCATGACTACTGTGTAACTGCCAATTTGTATTTCTTAATCCCTTCACCTTTTTCAACCAGCCTACAAATCTCTCCTCCATCTGGCGACCATTCGTTTGTTCTCTGCATCTTTGAGTTTGTTTCTGCTTTGTTTGTTTGCTTCTTTTGTTTTTTAGATTCCACATATAAATCAAATACTACTGGTTTGGGCTTTATCTGTCTAACTTATTTCACTTAGCATAAAACCATCTATGTCCATCAGTTTCACAAAGGGTCAAGATTTCATTTTTCTATAGATGAAGAATATTCCATTGTATTTATGTACCACTTCTTCATTATTCAATCATATATTGATGGGCATTTAGGTTGCTTCCACATCTTGGCTATTGTAAATTAAACTGCAATGAACACAGGGGTGCACATATCCTTTCAAATTAGTGTTTTGGATTTCTATGGATAAATACCCAGATGTGGAATTGCCAGGTCATATGGTAGTTCTATTTTTAATTTTTTGAGAAACTTCCATACTCTTTCCGTAGTGGTGACACCAATTTTCAGTCCCACCAACAGTGCACAAGGGTTTCCTTTTCTCCACATCTTTGCCAATACTTGTTTTGTCAATATATTCATAACAGCCATGGTGGCAGGTGTGAGGTCATTGTGATTTTAATTTGCATTTCTCTGATGATAAGTGACATCCGC